AGGAGCGAGACTGGACGCAAGGAGGTCCTTCTTCAGCCACAGAGTGGTAAAGGCATGGAACGCCCTACCTGTGGATGTCGTCATGTCCTCATCCGTGGACTCATTTAAGAGAAAGCTTGACCAGTACAGGGATATGTACCTCTACAGCATCAGAAACTAACGAATTCCCCCTGTGCCACCCGCCCCATCCAACGTTTTATGTTACAAAGCGTGCTACTCCCTATATTTTAGTAACATTACGTTTTACAATTTTCGCTATCTCCTGACCGCCACATATGCGCTTGCTTTGATATTACTTGGTCCATTCATTGCCGTACTGGATATTGTACAATTTTGACATAGAAGGCATTCACAGACAAATTCATACCAGTGACCAATGCTCGTTGTATGTAATTACTTACCTAATTTTTTTCACACTTGCCTTACACATTGTTTTTTTTTATGACGTTATTGTAACCAAAAGGGAGTTCAAAGGCGCTCGCCTACTTTTCCCTTAATAAATCTGATCTGATCTGATCTGATACTGTGGTTGTCGGACAGCCTATCAAAAGTCAGACACACCTCCAGTCTCTAAAGGATGGCCTAAACCATGTCCTAGCGTCGTCGGAGGAAAATGGTCTCCTAATTAATAACCAAAAATCCGTCCAGTGTTTTTTTCGACAGCGGCCCTCTCCTAGTCCTGAATCTTCTGGCATTCTTCCTAACGAAGTATCCTCTTTCGGGTACCTCGACGTTACTTTGTCCTTAAATCTTTCATTTTCCCTCCATATTGAGCCACTATTTATTAAAGTTCGTAAACTTCTTTATTACATTCGTCGTTGACGTTCCTGCCACACACCTCAACCCTTAGTCTGGCGATTCATCGAGACTGCATTCTTCATCTTATCCTTTACTGCTCTCCTGTGCTTTTCCCTGGTTTGCTTAAAAATGTTCTTTTAATTTTGAAACGAGTCCTCCGTATGCTCTCTTCTGCTGCTGGTGTTTCTTACCTTTTTTAAGTTGACAATATCTTACAACGACACTTCAATGCGGTCAAGCAATTTGCTGGTCGAATTCTAGATGACGTTGCCCATCCCTTACATTCTGATCTTATGTCTGCGAAGTCTTCCCGCCCGATGCGCCGTAGCCTCCGAATCATACACTGTCGCACATCGTCTTATCGAGCTTCTGTACTGCCATTCCTAGCGCGCTATCTTACGTGCGAAGAGAAAGAAATACGGAAGCTAAGACTTGAACTATCCTCATAATAATTGTTCATTTAAGTTAAACTTTGACACTTGAATAATCTATTAACTTATTTACTGCCCATAGTGAATGGAGCCAATTTTTTGCTGAAAATTTCGAACTTATGATTTCAAAATAAAGCGACTTCCTCTCTCTCTCTAGTCACATCTAGAAGCCAGAGAGAGTCTACTGCAGTCCTTTTTGCGAGGTAATTTCCATGGCTGGGAAGAGGTCACTTAGATTTCGGCGCAGTTTTGAATTCCGCAGTTCCTTTTTGGTAACGTGCAGTTAATTTCCATTTCAGCTACTCAGTCATCTCACCGGATGCCGCGTCAACCTTAACATTACATCTCATTGGAGCTTTCATTAAACCGAATGCGCTACCCACTTGAAAGACCGATCTTCTCTCTATCTCCGTACTGGAGATCACCATCTTTGCCTTCATTCATCTACATACACCACTTAGTTAATTGGCTTCGAGAGTGAGACCGATACAGACGAAGGGAAGAGTCTCGGTTTATGTTCCACGCTGCAGAGAATCGCATACTCATGCGAACAGCCCGTAATCTTCTTCGAAAGCATATTGAACTAAATTGTTTTCTGGTTTGAAAGCCTAGGGACATACCACAGACCGCACAAGGGATGGGCCGAAGGCAGACCACCAGCCAGTGCTCTAGCCGAATTTCGGAACAAACATTGGGAGTAAAAAAACGTTTATTCAAGAGGAATATGCACGTTCAAGATGTTTTTCTTCTTATTCAGTTTTGCTTTCGCTTTTGAGGGGGGAACGGGCTCGGGAAATTGAACCGAATAAGGGCCGGAAAATTCATCTGTTCCTTTGATCTTCAGAGAGAGCATGGTCTAAAAGGAAGGAAGAGACCCCATATTGCTATTATCGGGGTACGGCTGCAATTCATGCTTGGAGTGAAAGGCAAAAGGCACCGAGAATTCCGATGTTTTTTTATGATGAGGAGAAAGGCGTGTCAGTTTTTGTATGCTCAGTTAGCAATCTCCTCTGCCGTGGTAAATTGGTACTGTGTAGAACAACACACAAAGTGCCATTCTGACTAGATGATAGGTTATCGATTTCCCAGTTCTCTTGAGCAGAATCAGACCTCATTTCAAACCAACGACGTTAATTGGACAAACTGCAAGTGGGAAGTAGTCTGGTCAAGCACTGAAACAAGTTATTTATCATTCTGAATCTTTGAAATCGTGTAGGAGTTCACCATCCAAGACGAAAGCAGGAAGAGGCATTAACCAGTCCGTGATTAGTCGCGTATGTCTGGAGATGAGTGAGCAGGACTCTGTGGCCCGGTGCCAGATCGATATATCGATCGACTGGATCCTCAGCCTGCCTTGATTTAGGCATGGACGATTATCTTGACGGCTGCGAAGTTGGACTCATGACGCGTTTCGAATGTGAACGGTTACTTACAATAATTTATCGCCCAACCAGCTTACGTACGCGTATGCACGATCCGAGCGTGCGTTCATTCCGACCTGTGTCATTACAATGACAGTTTAAGCATGAGCTACGATACACTACTTTAAACTGCTCCCTGGGATTTAATCAGCCCCCGATTTTCATGACCCTGATGCACTTGGTAGCCCTGGGCAGGTAAGTAATTCCGACACCTAGTCCGTCGATGATGCGCTCGGTCGCCACTGAAATGTCCTTAATGTACGACAGAACATTCCATATCATCGGTGGCATTTTTGTTTGAACCCCCCAGAGTCGAACATACAGGCATCAGCTTATAAACGCCTTCGGATTGAAGTAAGTTCACTCTCGTGAGGTAATCGAAAAGCCTACTGCCAAACGGTTTTGCCTCTGAAGCAAGTCAAAAAGCCAGGCTTTTTATCTGCACACTGCAGAGGGCATTTCAATCATCCGCTAGGACGAAGTGGTTCTGATATGTCATTGGTTTGATTCGCTCTATCATTTATTCCCAGGGATGAATTTTTAAAAACGTACGAAAACGCAGCCGTGCAAAAGCGTGCTCTCGGAGATCGAATTATTTTCACCTTCAACTGAAAAGTGTTCAGGTCCTGGTGAGCCCTCTAACACTTGAATCGTGATATTATTTTCACAGAGAACAATTCGGAAAATATTGTGGGCAAGCATCCGACCACAACACGCGACAGACACTACGGACGGTTTCTGTTGATTTGGGTGAAGACAGCGGGTCTCGAAATATATAGTCAACCTCAATTTGTAATTTGGTTCGTTAGAAAATACTCTGCCCAGGAGTATGTGCCAATCTCAACACTTGGATTACCGGGAATTGGTCACCAAAAACGTGGCAGAAGAAAGACCAGTAATTTTCGAATAAGCTCCCGAAATCCGTCAGTCAGATGAAAAGATCGCGTGGTAGCCCAGAGTAACTTTAGGTACAGGGACGACAAACATTTCAGCAAAACCTTCAGGAAATTACATACGTGATTTAACAAACCCTGAACTGTGGTCCGAAATTATCTAATTTTTTAACGCTTGCCTTAATGCCCATATTTGTAAATTTGCTGCAGTGTCACTTCGCAGGTTGCTTGATTCCGGGTGTATGTTAAGACCCCCAACACCGACCGCGTTCTAGAGCGACTAATCTAGAACTCCGCACCTACTAAAATACAAACCGACCTCTAAACGAACTTTTTGCCACCGCAATCTGAGTGCTTGGTATCTTATGTCATGTCATCTGTTGCTTGTCAACTTGAGTGAAATATGGGATCAGAACCCGTTAAATCGTTCCTTGACTGCCGATTTCTGTGAAATATGGGGCTTTACCGAGGATATGTCCAATTCGCAATCCTTGAGGGTCACATTCGCAGGAAGATTGATTGAGTATTTGAGATTTGCGTTTTCAGGACTTCTTCCTAACTTCCAGGAGGGCGGTGGAGGTTTGTGGACAACTTCCTCTATTAGGGGCCTGCCCTTTGACTGCGTTTCTTTCGGTTTGTCAGCCGTCAGGGAGATCTTGGGTTCAAACGCTGTCTGCTGCATATCGCCAGCCGCTTTTTTGCCAGCCATCAGACCGGAACTCGAAAGGGCTTCCTGCGCCAGTGCGGCAAAGTTGAGGTTCCTGTAGTGCAGCGACTTGAACATGCTCTCCACGCCACCGTGCGGTTCCGTGGACCACTCCGGTCGCAACTTGGGAAGGTTGCCAGTTCGGGCGAAGTCCGCGTACTCCCTAGTGCAGATAGCTTTTTCTTTTTCAAGAAAGGTCAGGCAGAGAGCCATCAACTCGTCAGCTTTTGGGCTGATTCGCTTGGAGGAAGCCGCAGAATCATCCTGAAGCGGAAATCCGTGCTGTTGGTAGACAACGGGGTGAAGGGCCACACACACTGTAGACACTAAAATAGGCGCGAAAAGTTAATCTTAATGGGTTTGTAAGATACCACGACGGTTTTGCGCGTGATTAAGCATCCAACATGTCTTAGGAATTTTTCGTCCAGCCCTGGAGGTAAGGCGTGTTTATTTTGTGCATGAAGTATGTGCCGTAAGTTACGGCCACTAGCTGACCCACAAGAACTCACATTGGGTCAGGAAAGGATAAATATTTGCATGCAAGCGGTTTCCTCAAATACGCGGACCAGTGTGCTGACAAGCCGAAGAAATGCAAGCTGGAGTGCGGATGCGCCCACGTGGACAAAAAATAGACAGAATTCCAGGCGTCGTAAACGCTCGGATGCGCGGTTGGCGGGCATTGTACTCTATGCAGCGAAAAAAAGCTGCCGCAGAATGGGTCTTATTCCTGAGTTGCAATAAACGATCTGTGTTTTGCAAATCACTTTCGGGGCTCGGCCGCAGTATCAGGCATAAGTATGGAGGTTGTCGAGTGTGTTGAGACATTGTTGGACGCTGTAAACGCAAGTTGCGGTGCGATACAGAACAGCATCGAAGATGATAGAGCCACCTTAGAGTGCTCTGGCTTCCATTTGTCGTAATGTATTCCGCTTGCAAACTATACTTAATGACCTCAAAAATGAGCTCACAGAACTGCAAGCATGAAATAAAAAGATCCCTTCTGTATGTAAGATGTACGGAGTGTATTGTAAGCCCAAAATTGCTATCAGTACAAATAACGAAAACGTATGTGGCTCAACTACATCAATTGCATGAAACTACGTTTACGAGGGATATTCTCTGACGAGGTCAGGGAGCACAGTTATGCTAAGAAGAGTAATGTTTCGCATACCGACCAAGCAAGATGAAATTTTTGGTGGTGTAGAAGCTGATGTCCTATTTTTTGTTGGCTGGAGCCATGCAGACACTGTGTCGCAACAAGGTCCATGGAATACGTACATAAGTGATCACTGGCCCCTCCCATCATCACATGATCGTACATTTTGCTTGGTTTCGGTGCTACTCGATAAAATTATCAAAAATAAAAACAACACCATGAATATCACGCACCGAGAAGAACACAGGACGGTGTTTTCAAAGGTTGGCAAGACATCATATCGTTTCTTTTAATAATGAGACTCCAATCATATCAGTCTGAACTTCAATAACAAGCAGTGTCGCCTGTGCGCTCGACGATAAACATGATTGTAATCTTCAAACATATCTGTTGAAATACCGCCCATCCAATACAATTTCATTACGGGTGAGTGCGGTACAGAAGTCGATGGGACGTCTTAAAATCAAACAAATGCTGAGCGATAAGAAAACTACATGACGTGAAACACAAAGAGGAGATAAAGAAACACACAGAGATAAGGAGGAATATAGACACCGTTATAATCGGCCGATAATCGTCATGTTTGACAATATGTGGTCGAGGTTTGTATGGATTCTTACTTCATTATGCACCGAGGGAATCACACATATCAGTCCACTGGCAGTACCAAGTAGTTTATTAAGATCGTTGTTAGAACGTCATACATATTGTCTTATCTAGGATCGAAATGAGCAAGAGATGATCAGATTGGTGGTCGACATCGTCGCAAAATTTAAATTTACCTCTATACCGACAAGTTACTTTATGTCGACCCGATATAAACTGTAAATATGTTGGCTGCTAGCGAAAACAAAGTTGCTGCAAAAATGGTATCCGCTAGTGCTTAGATAGCAGAAATTCCAAACGACCATCGCCCGTTTATGGAATGAAAGAGGAGCCCGCATGCACTTTAGATATAGTCAACTTGTGTTCAAGCATTAGTGCGAACTTCCGGAATTCCGACTGCGGCTGCGTAAAGATAAAGCATTTTGACTTTAATCGGCCATAGTCCAAAATATGACCAATTCTCATAAAAAAAACAACAACGTGAATTGTACACCGCACCTCATAAGAAAAAAAAACAAAGGATCTTAACGCGCTGTAGGACAGAGCTAAAGTACGCACCGTTTTCAACGAGGTACGTGTCCCCGCAAAACATGGGAATGGCATCTGTTTCTGACTTCGGCATGTTCAGATATTCCCATTCGCACATGTTTACGAAAATGTTTCCTCCGTCCTTAAAAAGTAATAGGCTTAAAATAATTGTACCTTGAGAGTACATTTGTAGACACATCGGCACTTGGGACGACTTGTCAGACCTTTGCCAACTTCCATTTGTTCTTTAATAAATTTTTCGTATCCCTTTGGATCAGACTCAGCCATTTCATCAAGCATCTTCCAAATGCTACTAGCGTTACCGGCAAAGTTCTCGGGATTGAGTCCTTGCATCTTTTCGTTCTGCTCACAGAAGTTTTCACATGTCAAATGTGTGGGTTACCACTGCGAGTACGAAGGAATTTTATGATGATTAGAAATAAATCGTCTTTTTGTAGTGCAGACAGTCTTCTAATGGACTTTTTGAGGATTAAAGTAATGGCTATGGGGTAAAAGAAATCAGGATCACTACTATCACATTTAGGCCGGTAGATATCGCGCATAATGTGGTCGAAATTTAAATAACCGGCTGATACCATGACAATCCCGGCGGACAGCGCGATTTGCCAATCTGAATCTCAGGTACGATGTTACAGGCTCCTCAGTAAAAAGATGTTCTACTACAAAATTTCGCGTATGTGTCAAGTTCGATGTGCATACTAGATCAATAAGGTGCTACTTTATTTGTAGACGGAGCTGCACGAAGAGCAGCGAACAATGACGCGGGTGATTCATGAGATTAACAAATAAACAGGAACGGCAAAAACATTACAATTATAGTAAAACATATCATGGCAAAAGTTCGCATGTAAAACTGACAATGATCTAGACACCAACTGGAAAGCCCAGCATACACAAAGAGAAATCTAAAAAATGAAATGAACACGGGACAGAAATTAGGAAGAAAATCTTGCATCTAGGTAAACTGAGAAGCATGGCCACCAAAACGCGTACGGAATTCTGGATAATTTGTTACAAAGCAAGAAAAAGTTCCATCTTAGTCTAGAACTCATGGGGCGGGCACAAAGTCCCCCGGAAAATACTTCAAAGCGCATTTAAATTTCTGAAGTCATAAACAAAACTAAGTTTTTTTCGCAGTTTTTCGTGACCGTCTACACAAACGAAGCCAGGTTTCCTCTCCCTTCCTTACAGGGCACGCCGACTGAAAGCGAGGATAATAAGGCCGTTAAAAGAATCGAAGTCTCCCTGACCAGGCTTCTCAAGGAGCTTGAAAGTGAACACTTTGCATCTCTGTCTCTTTCAATGTCCATTTGACACTTGGGCACTTCCTGCCAATTGGAAGCTGGCGCGCACAGCTCGCCCATGCAGAAACTGTTTCTGGGCGCCAATGACAAACTAAAAGTTTTCAAACTTGTTGCTCACACTTGGCGAAGTCTTGGTGTTAATCGTAATGTAGGAAATTATGCAATTCCCAAAGGCCATCAACTTGTCTCATTGAGCACACTGGGGGGTACGTTCACAGCAAGGAAGATCGGGTACGACAAATTTTCTGCAATCTCTCCAGAGTTGACCTCGAACACTCCACGGTAAGTACGCTTGTCAGAAGTGGTGTGGTCGACAAGACAGAGAATCGTAGATCAGAAGTCATGTAAGACGATTTGGATTGGACAACCTCTACTGCTGGAAGTGCGTACACAAAGCTCTGTAAGCAGTCGCCGCGAGCGCGTGCTCCAAACAAGGTTTTGTTGTCTGTGTCTACCTTCAGGGTGCTCAGACCCAGCGCGTGTGTGCGCCTTTCAAGCCTCGCGTGTCCCAGCAGCGTATCGACATGGAGTGTGAGGCGGACAGGAAGGCAACGTATCAAAGGCGGAGGGAAAGGTGACGCGAACTGCCACACGCAATCTCCATTGACTTCTTTGACTCGAATGACCTTCGACACTGTGCTTCACCAGAGAATGTTGTATGAACTGGTAAGAACAAGGATCAGAGATAACTGCCCCAGATAGATCAAAAGCTTCCTTACGCATCAACGTCATGTTGTTCGCATCAGTCAGGAGAAGTTAAATCCTTCTAGGGCGGAGAGTGTTGTTCCCCACGGTCCAGTAATGGTATTCATTCTGTTTCTCACACAAGTGGACGGTCGCGCAAAGTGCTTGGATTTTGGAAAGCCAGTATTTGCTAACAACATGAATATCAGAGGCATTAATAGCGAGCCCTGCCGACTAAGATAGACCACAGATCGATTTGGGTAGGCTGGAGGAGTGGCCGACTTGTTGACTTCTGCAATCTAACGTCGATAAGTGGACCATAGTTCGCTTAGGCTAATCAACCAGATCTGCCAGTATTAGAAACTACTTTTTCGACGATGGGGCTTTGCAAAACGTGGAAACCCAACAGTATCTCGGTGTGCTGATAATGAACTAGACAGAATGGCATTACCGACGATGACAATGTCGGTAATGCCATTCTGCTTATATCATGCTGGCGAAAGTGGTGTGGTCGACAAGATAAAGAGTCCCAATCAAAAGTCGGGGAAGACGGTTTGAGTTGGACAACCTTTACTGCCTAAGGGAGTGCGTACACAAGGGCTCTGTAGGCAGTCACCGCCAGCGCGCTGCAAGCAAGCTTTTGCCTGTGTCCGCCTTCGAGGTGTTGTCCCAGCGCGTGTTTGCCTTTCGTTTCTCCAGGTCCGCCAATTAATCGGAGTGGGGACAGCGTTGATTGGCTTCGAGCGTTAGCGAGGCTAGTTACAAGACTCACGTGTCTTAGAAGCGTATCGACATTGAGTGTGAGGCGGACAGGAAAGCAACGTGGCAAAGGCGGAGGGTGAGGAGACGCGAACTGCCACACGCTATCTCCATAGCCAAGTAAATATCTTCCCTTTGAGTCAAAAGCAGATGCGTGATGACATCTTTCAGGCATTTTGTGTTATAAAGGGGATTGGACCTCAGCCTAGCCTTTGGTTACATTTTGAATTTGCTACCCTGACCAGCATCCTAAATCGCCATTAAAACATCAGTTCTGGCAGACAAGGATGAATGTGCTGAGGTTCCTCTTCTCTCTCTTGGCGGTCGGCCTACGGAAAACCTTATCTGTTGATTTCCTGATATCGCAATTGACCGACAGCTTTAGAGGAAATCTTTGACGATTTGTTTTCTAATCTGGACCACTGCGTTGAAAATTCGCACCTAACCCAAAGTCACGCACAAATTTTCGTTTCATGGTAGTTACCCTTGAAATAATCTAATAAGAATGGTTCCTCTGCACAACCCACACAATTTACTTAAAGGCACATGCTTATTTTCCTCGATAAATTGAACTGAACATTCTCTCAGAACACGAAAGAACGAATGGAATGAACATCTGTTGAAAAGAGTCGGGAGGAGTATTACGGATTAAAAAGAAGTTGAGAAAGCCCTTAAACACAAATCAGAATGGCCGCTCGAGTGAAAGACTGTGCAGCATTAATGCCTACAAAGACATGACGACACTTGAACTTTTAGTTAGGATCGAGGATTTCATCATTTTGCGGAGTTTATTTCAGAAAAAAAGTGGCGAGCGAACATTGCTTTCGATAACTTCTCGTCAGGCCAGTACAGTTATATGGGAGGGGTACAGTGAGTGAAAAAATCGACAAAAGTTGGTTTTTAAACTACAGTCTAGGCAAGAGCGGAAGGACGCAGAAAGTTATATGCGGTTAGTCAAGCTTTGACCACGGTAAGCGCGGAGCCTAAACGAGGTTCTTCTGACCGAAAGGGTCGGTTTTCGTAATCTGATGACGGCCGCTTCTGCTGCTGCTAACAGACGCTGGCCAGTAGCGTAGGACAACTCGAGGGAACCTTATAAATCACATGAAATGCTGCAGCTGGGTCCACACGATGTCCTGAATCCACTGCATGCGCAAAGATGACGCTGTCAATTTTCCTAGTTTCACCTTTTGCCAGCCATGTGGGAAAGTGCTCTCGTATTCTTTTGGAAAGACGCAGGCTCGTACGACCAATATGACCTGCTCCACAGGAGCAAGTGAATGAATAGATACACACTGAGGTGGTCTGAGCTGGCAGCCTATCCTTGCCTTACCCCTGTCAAATAGGGTTAGTAGATAATGATATGCGAACCCCTGCTGCTGGGAAGGTTACCAAGGCAGTTGATTTCATGTACCACGGGGACGCGTTGTGGATAATGTCCACTTGGGTGTATAATCCATCATGCGCAATAAGTAATATTAGACAAACCGGATATCAAAATCAAAGGAAATGGAATGTTACATACAACACTTATGACATCAGACTGCACAACCCGGCAAGCAGACAGGGAGAGCTGAGGTGCCGCATCTGATAGGATGCAGCCACTGAGAAGGTTCGATTTGAGCTAAACTGCAAATATCATATGCTGGATTGTCATTTCGTTCTAAGTACTCCACAGAAGACGTATACGGCATGCAGATAAACCACACTCAAGATGTGTGATCTGGTGTGCCTGTGATCATATCCACGCAGCCTAAGCTTTCAAGGTACGGTGACCGACAACTCCGCGATTTCCAACATCCAATCAGTACAGGACGCGACTTTGCTTGGCCACAATACTTCCCCACGCTGATGTCAAGTTCATCACGGCTCGGGCCATCTCTTGACAGGGAGCGTGAGGCAGACTGAAGGCAGCGTAGGCGGGCGGCCGCGTTGGCGATCACGGAAGCAGACCGTCACATAGGCGAAACCTGTTAACCAGTCTGTCTCAATGACAGTTAGTGGTGGTTAAATGCTTTGATCCTTGCAAAAGCTTTGATAGGGGCTGTGCGCCACCACATTCCCATCTACTAAGTTTGTTACTCTTACGCTGATGCAATAGGAAAACAATGTGCATTTTCCTGAAATATGCCGAACAATATGTGATTTAATTGTATGTGGGTTTGTGATGTTACATTATAAAAACAGATCAATGTCTATATCGTCGTCTCTGTCAATTATTTATCACACTTTGGCGTGATGTGCACTTGTTGTCTAGACGTCGGAATGTGGGGGTGGCCATCAGCAAGCCTATTGCGCCTTTTAGAATTAAACAGAAATAGCAGAACAGCCGTGATGCTTGTCACTATGCGTTTTTCTAAAGTCGAGATTCATGAGCCGTATCTAGGATACCGCTGGACAGCAGTTGCATACAAATACTACAAATCTATTCAGTATGCTGTTTTGAAGTGTCCCCAAATGAGGCATGTTCCGGTAGTTCCATAGAAATTTTATTAGTGATGCCAAGTCTGCAGCAGAAAATGAAGGTGGACTAAGTACCACTTTTATAACCTGACATAGCCGCGACTCTTAATCTAAGCCCGACTA